GCGTAATGGAGCCTTTATTCTTGATAGTGTGGCGTCCCAGGACGGCGCCCGCTTGCCGGCAAACCGGTGCCGAACCGGTTTAATTGTCGGGTGATCACTTTGGAAAGGCCTTGAGGTCTATGATTGTTTCCGGTGTCTGAGACAGGTTCTCCTTAAGCTAATCGACTATCTGCTGAACTCGAATAAGCGATCCCAGTAAGCGAGTTATTTTCTGCGGCAGGGACGAAAGTCCCTGTGGAAATGAGCTCATATACAGTTTACTTTATGAGCTATGAAATGGTTGCTTTTTTAGTCGGTAATGTAACCTTTTCGAGAGGTCCTCGAGAGCGGGAGGATACCTCCGGCTGCGAGTTCGCAAGTAAATTGGATAGCAGGGAAACTGACATTCAGTCTCTGATGCAACTGCTTGACTTTGCAGGTCTTTATAACAATCGGTGCAGCATCTATACAAATAACCCTATTTTGTTTTCTTGTTGCAGAAATATATTCCTATTAAGGAGACTGACACGCACGTGGAACTACTGCGCGCTGCGTTCGACGAAATCGCTGGCCCCTCTGGTTCTATCACGTCGCTTGAGCTGCGCGACATTTTGAATGAAACCTTTATGAACAAGGGTAATGGCCGTTGTATGATGTTGGTGATGTGTGCAAACGCCGGGGGACCCACTGATAAACTGAGGCTCTAGCAGCTGTGTCATGCAGAAGCACATGATCGGCGATGTACGCATTGCTGGGTTAATAAGCCAGTACCTGTGCTGTCAGTGCGGCAATTAATTGCGTAACGTTTTAATCTGCCCACATCTTCCAGCTTCGTCATCCGCTCGAGGAGGTTTGCATTTTGGGGCTATTTTTCCGCAAATTTTAAGCAGAAATAAGCCGTCTTAAAACCCTGTGAACCAACTGGACAATTCATTTCAATGACATTGCTGCTTAAATTATATGATTAACCATTATTAATTTGTTATTTACGTACATATATTCCTGTTATAATAATAACACCGAAAAAGGGACGTAAATCCGTTGGCAGTCTTCTCTACTGGATAAATTTTGTCTTGCCTAACTGCTTAACATGTCGCCTCAATAATGTGTTTATGTATTCTTGCACAATTCTAATCCATACAATCAATATTTCCTAAAACCACTTTTTACGTGTCTCCCGATATGTCTCCGATAATTAACAGCTCCCGTCTATTCAAGTAGAATGCTCTGGGCCGTAGACACTTGTGCTAATGACCTCGTTATTGTTGTTCTAATAAACAAAGCGGGTAAAAATTAGTTTACAATGGGCACAATAGTCCAACCGAGATATATGTAAGAAATGTTCAAAAGCCCGTCCAGTAACGTAGGTCATGGTTGACTTGACCGCACAAAGCCTAACCCGCTATCCAAACGTAACTCCCTACCTTTATGATATGAAATTTCTCTCACCTTTTTTTCCTTTTAGGCTTCAAATTTGACGGCTTCAGCTGCGAGACTGCTCGCAGTATGGTCGCTCTCATGGACGTATCCTTTCAACCTCTTTGTTCGGACGATCCCGCCCCCCCCACACGGTCTTCCTGCACCCCGGTGCCTTTTTGTTGATGTGTTTCGCATGTTTTTCCTTAACCCATTACAACTCTAGGTCGATACCAGTGGAACCCTTGGTTTTGAGGAATTCAAGAAACTCTGGTTTGAACTGCGTCTATGGCAGGTAAGCTCACTTACGGTTTCGGATCTATCTGTTTGTAAAAATCTCGAGCGCTTTTTCGATTAAAAAGAATAACATGGATGGAGTTATAACAGTGCAGCATGATTCCGAAATATTTCAGTCATGTCAGGATGCTAGCGGAACTGCCTCCGTCTGCCTGCAATAACGACACCCAGTAAAAAAATGACTACTTAAGTAGTGTGAACTTTCCACATCGATTTTCAATGTGATTGGAAATGCAAATACAATTTATGGTAGACGTGACCAAGAAGATTATTTATTGCACTCATTTGGTCGAAAATTATGTTTTCATTGACTAAATGGTGTCCTAAGATTTGAAGAAGCTTTTTATCGCAGCTTTCGGATAATTTTGAACCTATTCTGTGGTTGTGGTTGTGTCTGGAACTTCAAAACTGCGCGCCGCATATTTTTAGCGCGAAGTCAATCAAGAACGTATTTCTGTGTCACTACGAGGACGTGATATAATGTTCAAACAATACTGTAGTAAATGAAGGTCGAATTTCGTCCTCTATAAGCAGCATTACCCTAGTGGCAAATTGTTACGACCCGCGCCTGGCACTTGTAATTTGCGCGAACTCTGAGCTCCAGAACGCCAGCATGAGTGAAGTCAACCGGTCAGGAGGATGAGTGTATTGGTACAGTGCAAGTCAAGCAAGTCGCTCTTAAAAAAAGGCTGTGGGGTATTTTTATCAGTCCGCTCCACTCACTGGCATCAGTGACAGGGGACCAATCAACTATTAAGAAAAATCAATAGTCACAGCGCGTGCTATCATTACAGCGACGTAGAGTTGCACTCGGCAGCCTTTCTATAGGATGAGTAATCGTGGGAATGGGCACATTCCCAACACAAATCAATAGTGACCTCAGCGGATTTTACAGCGCCGTGGCTGGTTGTTGCCTCGATAATGCTCTCGCGGCATCTATTTGGCTACGCGGATTTGCCTGTACGTTGGTCGAACCTCATTAACATTTATGCTAAAGAACCTCGGTGGGGCAATTAATTACTTCAAGGAGACATTCGACTGCGTCACTACGGCCGTCTGAACGGGCATTATCACATGCGCGTGACTTGGACTGTGTACATACTCGAGGCGCTCTGCTTTCGTGCTGTTTCCTCAGTTTATTATAGGAATCAGACAGATACGAAATTATATGTGAATGAACACCGAGCAGTCTCCAAGTAAATACCCTTTTTTCAAGTTGAAACTGCCAATTTATGAAAGCGTAAGTGCACTACGGCGTTTACTTATGTGGTTTGGAGCTGGCACCTCGTGTAGCTAGCACCCAGGAAACATGCACGGAGACCATGCTAACCCAGCCATGCCTGGAAGAGAATTGGTTCTGGCATTGCCTTCCTCTGTTTTTATTTAAACTGAGCGGGAAATACAATACGATCGTCCGCTTCACTATGCTTTCTTTGTCTTCGCTTTTTAGACCATCTATAAACGGTATGACCCTGAAGGTCTCGGCTTGTTGAAGTCTTGTCAACTCCGTGAGGTCCTCAGCGATACTGGTAAGTCCCCCCCTGTGCTTCTTTTCGCTCAACTCTGCTGCCTCAACGCAAGTGGTTGAATTCCCCCCCCCTTGTTCCTTTTTTGTTGCTGCTCAGAATGTGAATTTGTTTTCTTCCGCCTTCCCATTTCAGGCATTCACGTGAGTAACCAGGTCTTCAAGGCCATCGTCTGTCGCTACGTTGACAACGGACAGGTTCTTTTTGATGACTACATCCTGCTGGTTGTGCGTCTGATTACGGTGTTTGCCACCTTCAAGGAACGCGCGCGTCCCGGTCGCGATCGGGCGGAATTCACTCCTAATGAAGTACGTTTTCCGCCTCGCCCCCTCCAATTTTTCCTCCTTAGGTTTTGCTTATAAAAATGTTGAAAAAAAACAATTTGATGAGAATACGTCTGCTTTCAGTAAATTTTCTCCAGGCCCATTCATTTATATTATAATGGCAAAGCAAAGCTCGTTGGACGGTGGTGGAACGCTCAACTTGAAAATGTTATCCTCTCCACGCGTGTGAATACATTTAAGAATAAAGTGGATATGCATCAAGTTTTCCAGCTACACCCCAACCTAGTGAAGTATGTGAATTTCTGATAGCTATATTACTCATAATAATCGAGTAGCTGTTTTTGTTTACTATTTTCTACAAATGTGTGGGCAAGCTTACAAAATATTTCTTGCAGTCAGTGTCATCTGATCAGCGTTAGGAGAGCTGGTGGGCAACTTTGTGAATTTGGGTAATGGCAACTGCGCAGCCTATCTGAAGTTCTGAGCGCACAGGACCGCGAATTTCACCGCAGACGTCTGAAATATTTTGAATAGCTTGAGGGGACCTTTTAAGTCACACGAAGGGCCTCTGTACCCTCTACGCGGCGATCTTTGTCTATTGAGTGTGCGAAATTGGAACTGTTTATGTTCTTTTTAGCCTTTTCCCAACTAGGCTGGAAGGTGCTCTAGTATTCCATTGGACGAACGCCGGTTCGTGGGAGAAATAAATTCTGCCGCACAGGAGTATGAAAAAAAATTGCGCGTAGAGATGATCACGGCTGACTGTTACTGACCGTTACTCTAATTATTATGACTATACTACTGTCAATATGTGAGTAGTAGTTGATGTTTTCACCGTACCAGCAGACATCTGCCTGTTCGTCGCATGCAGTGGCCAATAAACGGTGCCGTTCACTGGCATTCCCACAATGCTAGGCAGCAACTGCGGATAACCAATCCTGTTTAGGAGAGTGCAAATGAACTTTGTCAATCGAAACATTTCCCCGGGACACTATCGAATAACCCGTTCTGATGCACATCAAACGAGACCAGCGGCTGCAGCTCCCAGTTTTACAGACCTCAAATGTGTCAGCTGTTTGAAAAGTTTCACTAAGATGTCTGTAAATAACTTGATAAAATTAGCGTTCACTGATTAATCCTGATTGCTGGATGTAAGCTGAGGGATTTCGTATCATCTTCAAACTATGATCTAGGGCTCTCGCTAGCCGCCAGTAGGGATTAAGAGTTACTTGCGAGAACTGGCTCTCCCTTATTTTGTCAGCAGCCATCCCGATTCGGAATCAGAATTTCGTTCTCTACCAGGTTGCCCTGCTATCCCTTGCCTTGGTCCGTTCATCACGCGTCTTGAGAGTTTGGTTTTCGTTATCGTCGTGTGCTTTCGTTTAGCCACTCGAATAATGACCGTTCCGTTTATACATTCTTTCATTTTTATTTATTGACTTCGATTTCCCAAGTGAAGTAAGCTACAATGGGTCATTGAATGTTAACGAAAAGCTACATACGGGATGGGTACCCTTCGTTTACATCGCGTGGTGAATATGTAAATATTGTGTTACTTAGACCATTTCAGTAGCGTTATATTTTTCCGTTTCAGTTCCTTCGCTGCGTACTCTACATCTGAGTGGGTGACCTACCTCTCCTACCCACCAGCGCCAGCACCCCCACGGACCCAAACATACAGTCTTTCCTTTTCTCTCACCCATCCCTTATTTTTGACTTGTAGCTCCCCACCGTCTCGTCACTCTTTTTACGTCAGCTTTTGAGGAGTGACGTTGCACTTAATTATCTAGTATGTTTTGACTTCAACGATTTGCCCTTACTTTCTTCTATTGTCTTTGATTTCTGCTTTTGTACCGTTTGGTTTAACCTATAGAGCAAAATATAGTGACTTCCTCTCCTCAGAATGCGGTCAGTGCTTGAGTTTTCCAATTATGTCCTGCTGGGCTAAGTATGGTGGACTGGATTTCTGTAGGTTCAGGTGGTTCTTTTTTTCTCTGAAGCTGTAGTACTGGGACAAATTTACCTGGGCAGTCAACTGACTGCATCCGTAATGGTGGATTCTATACATGCGACGGGCTGGGCAGGTAAATTGTGTCAAGTGCAATTAAATTCATGGCTTTTGGCGTGCCGTTGTAGCCCAATGGTAGAGCGTTGGCTGTACTCAAGCCTTCCCTGCCGATGTGGATTCGAACTCCACCGAGGCTACAAATGTTTCACGATTGGTTCAACCGAATAATTCACATCTGCCAAACCCGTCCTAATAGATTTGGTTTAATTTGCGACTTGGCTGTAGAACTGAATGTCTGAATTGTCGATACACTGGGATTCTGTGCCAGAAAATCGCTACCTATATTTTCCAAGGACCCCACTCACGTGCTGCTAGTTGTCTGCGCTATCGTGTAACTAGGAGTTTCTCCTAATTAGTGCCTCCTTGTTTAATTATGTAACTTGTTTCGTCTTCTTGACTGCTCTGACTCCGTATCCAGCAGCCACGTGTACGTCAAAACCAAGAATAACAACTATCAGGTCAGTACGGTACCATTAAGCAAAATAGTAAAGGAGTAACAATGTGCAAACCTCAACAATGCATACACACAGTCAAGAGGGAAGACATTCGGCTAAATTGCTTGACTCCTGAGATCGGCGGCACTATCGATGACTCACTTTTTTCCTCGGCTGGCAGGCCTCGTGATAATTTAACCCTTCGCGGCCGGCCCGTCACACGCTCTTGCCGGCTGACTGCGGAAGCCGCTTGTATTCTCCTCTCGTCTGTCTCTCGGTCGGGTCGATGTCTCGCCCTTTGGCCTAGCGAGCTTGACACCAATCACTAAGAGCCATTTTCTGATTGGTTATAGGGCTTCCCTGGATTCCACAGAGGCACAGAGCACACAAATCAACTGTCGTCTAGACTGTGAGCAGCTTGTTTGCGCAGAACCTTTTGTTGGCTCCTTTCCTACAGAACACAGTCCAACCTAATCGGTCTTACTTGGGGGAACCTTCTGTAGTAAAACAATCACTCCTGTAGACAAGGTTTCAAAGTCACGCAAGATTTCCCAGAGTCGGGAAGATGACAGCATAAACTGAGCACCTGAGACTGTCACCGATCGTTGATTGCTTACTGACATCCCCAAACTATCATTAGTTGTCACATCGGCTACGCAAAATGTCACGTGGCCTCAAAATACGTGCTCTAAAGCCAAATTATTCAGAGGAAGTGATCAGGAAGTCGAGTGGAGCCCTGGAGTGACGAGCATTCCAGATTACGAATGAGCCACTAGCATAGAAGCTCTTTCGATCGACGAGCTGGAGTGGATTCAACTCGTTAACAGAGGCTCCGCTGTACACACGCTCATTGAGCAAAACAGGGGAGATAATTTGCGTCAGCGGTCGGTGAACACTCGTCAACGAGTGTCAATATCCCACTGACTTAAACCGGCAAGACAACGAGCTCGTGGCTCAATGGTTAGGGCGTTTGACTCTGATCAAAGAGATCGCGGGTTCGAACTTCCAGCGGTGCGCCAATTAGGTCTGGGTATGACCGGCTGACGACGGCTAATGAGCCAGAAATGGCTATTCCAATCTCCCCTGTCTTAGGCAGCAAAACCAAATGCCTATGCTACCAATCCGTATACGCGCGCTACACACGACCTGGTCATCCATTTATGTAGCTGCTCACTCTAAGGACAGCTGGGATTTTACATAGACCAAACTGCAATGAAATCTGAGTTGACCCAAGTGTGAAAAACTCTAGGCGTTTGGCGGGATTCGAACCCG